CTGAATTGAACCTTCACTGATCCTTTTGCATGCACACATTTTCTTCACTGATCCTCTTGCATGCACAATGTAAGTACTCTCATACCTCCTTTTGCTACTTTTCTTTTAGTTTCACCACACAAAAGTCTTATCGGTTTCCCTTGATTTCTTTACTGACACTTTTTCTCTCTCTTTCTATTCGAGATAATCCAAACCAAAAGACCATCTTGAAGTTAAATGTTGCTGATTAGGCGACAAATTTGGCCATCACCAGGACTCTCTGAAACTATGTACCAGGTAAACAGTTCGTCAAAAAATCTGCAGCATTTAGGGTTGTATGAACCTTGAGTAGATTCGCTGAACCATCATTGAATTTGTCTCAGATGAAATGATATTTAGTATCATACATGCTTTGTTCTGTCATGAAGAACAACTTTTTTAGTTTGGCTTATTGCACTCTGTGAATCGCAAAATAACTTGTAGCTTCTGAAACTGAATCCCAATTCACTACAAATCATTGTTAACAATTGACCATCCTTTGCTGACTCAGTGAGAGACATATACTCAGCTTATGTTGTTGATAAGAAAAATACATGCTGCAGTGTGGTTCGCCAACTGACAATGTTCCCCCAACCTGAAAAATATAAACTGAAACAGAGTGTTTTTTATCTACATAAGTACCGTATTCTGAACCATTGTAGTGAGCTATATCAATATCCTATTGCTTCGTGAATGTTAAACAAAAATCAAATGCACATGTTAGATATTTGAATACCCATCTGACTGCATCCCAATGAACACCTTTCTGGTTGTGACATGTATCTGCTGATCAAACAAATAACATATTCCAAATCAGACCGTGATCCTATCATGGCATACATAAGACTTCCAACTGCACTATCATAGGGTATCTGGTCCATATAGCTAGATTCTTCCTTGATTTCAGCATCTGTCAATCTTCTCAGCTTATGCTAAGAACTCACATGAGCAACCACCGGTTTTGCTCCTTCATTGTTGAAGTTCTTTGTAATTTTATTAATTACTCCTAAGACAAATTCAACACTCGCTTCTTCCTATCTCTTACGATATCCAGGCACAATATCCTTGTAGCAGATCCCAATTCTTTCATCTCAAACTCAGATTTTAAACTCTCCTTATATTTCTTTAACTTTCTCATATCCCTTAGAAGCCACAAGCATCTCGTCTACACAGAGCAATATGAAGACCTTACCCATTACATCCTTTCATTTGAAGTATACACATGGATCATGAACACTCTAATTGAATCCATGCCCTTTCATTAACTAATTAAACCTTTGATTCTACTGCATTGACTGTTTCAAACCATACAAAGGTTTCTCTAGAATACAAACTTTAGACTATTCTCTCTGCTCAATAAAACCCTCGGGTTGATCATATAAAATCCTCATCAATATTTCCATGAAGTAAGGTAGTTTTAGCATCCAGATGTTCCAATTCCATGTCAAAGTTCACAATAGATAGCATAAGAACAATGGAAAAATGTTTTACGACATGCGAGAAAATCTCACCCTTTGTCACTAATAATGCTAGGTCTCTATTTGTTCCTTGCGGATCAAATGCAACAAGTAAATCATACCCAAAATGTAACAGGAAACTTTGAAAAAAAAAATTAAAATCATGCTTTCTCTCTGATAAAAAGAGAATTTCAGTTTATGTTCTTACCAAATCTCCTAAAGATAACAAATAATGTATTTTCTATCCATTCATTCCTCGAGAATTCCAACTTATATCCTACCTATTAGTCATCCTTTAGTCTATGTAGTTTATATATTCTTCTTAAACAACGAAAAAATGGAAGTTACCATATTTTCTTTATTATCTTTCCTAAATCTACTCTAAATCTGCAGTAAATCTCGCACATCATCTTCTCTGCCACGTTTTTGATGTATTGTGTTTTTATATAATTTTAGTTATTTAGTCATTTTAGTGTCTAAGTGCAGCATTTAGGTGGCATTAGGTGTTGCATTTGTATATATTGCATACACAAGGGCTGGAATGCATAATCAAGAATTTTGGGGGTAAATCGATGACTAATCTACGATTTGAATGTTTTAGGGGCAAAGTCAGAGAAGAACAAATTCTCAGGGGCCAACTGTGAAATATACTAGAAGTTAGCCATGTCTGTGTCGTGAGCTTTGGAGTATTCGATGTGGAGGAGACAAACTGAACAATCCGAGACAACCAATCGAGCGATGCGTGAAGGTGTGGCATGTTCAATTCAATGCTCTCGGGATGTGACTCCTTGAACGGAGAATACGAGCTCGTGTAGGTGCGAAGATGACACGACAATGGTGGTTCGGTGAGAGGATAAGTTGATGGCGACAAACATAGCACGGTGAAGCGACGGTGGCTGTAAAGAAGGAGATGAGTCGACAATTGGAAGAGAGAGAACGATACCGGAGCAATGGGAAACAGAGATGAAGCAATACCACCGCAGAGAACCACTGTAGTAATGGTGCAGTGATGATTGACGGAGACGAGCTCGTGTCGAGACACAATTAAGACGAGATAGAAGAAGACAAAACACAAACCAAAAACGTAGTCGCGGTGACAATTTACCTTTCTTGTTTTTTACTTGATAAATTGAATTAAGAAAACAAATTAAAATATTAATTTAAAGGTATAATGGTATTTACAGAAATTAAAATTCTGATAGGATCAAAAAATTAGATAAAGTCTTCAAATGATAAACTTAATTTGAGAGTGTCCTATTTTTTTCAATTTTCTCTTTATAAAAGGCATTGTTTAATATTTTTGGATCATCTTTCCAATTCCATATAATGAATTCTCGACTTGTGTTGAATTCCAGACACTCACATCTTTGCTAAAATGGTCTATAAATATAAAGCATGGTAGGTGATTTATAGCATATTTAAAAGTACTAAATTGATTAATATATTTATAATTGTAAATTAGTTTTTATAGATATTTTGATTCTAAAGCAAATTACTTTTAAAGGATGTTTTTTTTATTCTGAATTGTTAATATGCAATCATTCTACAACGCTTTTAATATTTTTCAGATGCCAACAATCACTACCAATATATATGAAGTGTAAAACTAAAAACTAAAGAGACAAAAAAAAAACACTCTCTCTACTCAAAAGAAAAAAAATAGAACTCTAGCTTGGTGTGTCTCCGACGGCCGGAGCCTTCTCCTGGAGCTGGAGGCTTCTCTTTTTCCCTCTCTCTTTGTTTTTCTTTTGCCCTAATGGTGGTTCTCACCTTTCTGGTGATATGCTTGGTGGTTCTGGTGACCGCGGTGGAGCTGGAAGGGGAAAGAGGAGGACGGATCTCTGGAATCCTGGTGAGCCGTGTGAAGAGGATCTAGGCGTGGGCGTTTTTACCCCAAACCGTGGTGAGCCGTGTGAAGAGGATCTAGGCGTGGACGTTTTTACCCCAAACCGAATTCCCCACCTTAAACCGAACCGAGAAACCGAAACCGGATCCAAACCGTTATATAAGAATATCCTAATGGGACTTGAAAGCTTGGTACTTTGGGGTATGGGTACAATCTGAACCGAACCGAAATCCATACTTGGATCCGATTATATCCGAAATCAGTGAAATATGTTACTATTTTTATATATGTTAAGGTAATTTAGATGTTTTTGAGTTTTTAGAGATATTTATAGTTGATTTAATTTGTTATTTAAAATAAATTATAATTAATTTAGCTAGTTTAACTTTTTTAGTTAGGTTTGTGAATAATTTATATAATTTGAGTACTTTTTTGTAGTTGTTTTTTAAGTTTAAAAAAAAATATTTTTGAACGATTTTATACATTGGTTATAATCTGATCTGAACCGAACTTAGAAGGAACCAAACCAAACCCGACCTGATAATTAGTAAAACCTGAATGAGACTTATGAGCATAGTACCGAAAAATCCAAAAAACCAAATCGACCGAACCGAATCCGATGGGGGCCCCGAACGCCCATGCCTAAGAGGATCCATCTGAATGGGTCAGTGTTTAGGGTGTGTTGATGGGTTTCAACGGTCATTTTCAACCTTGATTTTTCGGGTCTCAACATAGAGATGGAGGCGCGTGGATTTGATTTTGTTCATTGTCTCGTAGAGCTGGAGGTTGGTGACTCAGATGCGAAAGGAGAGAGGCGCGTGGTAGGGCGTGAGGAGCACCTGGAACTTGGGTGGTTCATTCAATTCTATCATTGCCAAGTGAACGTTGAGATAGCTTGCTCTTAGCGACGTAACCAGAGTTTCAAAAAATTGATGAATGACAGTGAGATTGGCTCTTGAGTCGCGTCCAACTGAGTTTCTTGCAGCCGGGATGGGTCGTCGATGGCCCCAAAGAAGGCTTAGAAGTTTGGTGTTTCATCATGGGCAAGCAGAGCCGCGTCAATGGCGAGAAGGTTTCCTCTCTGGTTCTCGGAGACATAACGTGACGAGGCTCAAGCTTCATCGCGTGGTCAACGAAGGAGTTTGAGTCTTGGATCTATTCACGTTTTGAAGTGATGCATTCGCAGTACTGATTCAAAGCCTCATCTGGTAGCGTCAACTTCATTTTGTTCTGTTCAGTGTGCTAGTATGAAAAGTAGAAGTCGAGCCAAAAAAAAAAAAATAATAATAATATATATATGCATGCAGTGTTACTAGGAGAACCAATCAAATTCAATAATTTGCGTCGATGTATATATATCCATCTTCTAAGCCCGGCTCATTACTTAATAAAGCCCATAAAATCGATGAAACTATCTTCATCGAAGAATCCTCGTCCCTTTCTTCTCCCCGAAGCTCCGTTCAGAAATCAGAATCGAGAATCTCATCCATACATTGGTTTTAAACCGGTAATCTCATACCCTGATCTCCTCTTTGAGCCGCGAATCTGAGATATGAATAGAGGACGGAGTTCCTACGTTTAGGAAGAGACCAATTTTGCGTTTATAAAGTTTCCAACTTTAGATCGGTTCTTGAACAAATCGGATAATTTGGCGTTAGGGTTTTCTTTTATTCGCGATTATGAAACCGCACGAGGAATGGGTCGATGGGTCTTGGACTGTAGATTGCGTTTGCGGTGTGAGTTTCGACGATGGTAAAGAGATGGTGAACTGTGATGAATGTGGCGTTTGGGTTCACACATGGTGCTCTCGTTACGTTAAAGGAGATGATCTCTTTGCTTGTCACAATTGCAAGATCAAAATCAACAAGTTATTGGTTACAGAGACGTTGAATCAAGGCCGTACCTTTACGGAGGTTCCAGTTGAAGAAAGGGTTCATGTTCAAGGAGTGCCAGGTGGAGATTTGGCTCTCTTTGAAGGTTTCTCGTCGGTTTTCTCTAGTCAGCTGTGGAAATGTACAGGTTACGTGCCTAAGAAGTTTAGGTTTCAGTGTAGAGAGTTTCCTTGTTGGGATGATCAGGAGGGAAGTGTTGGAGGTCAAGGAGATGGATGTGATGGAGTTTTGTTATCTATGTTGAAAGAAAATGATGTAGCTGGTCCTATTGATGATGTGGTTGGCAACAATGACGTGAAGCTAGACAGAAGAGGTAGTTCTGGTCCTAGATGAAATGTTCTCACTTCTCAGAGCGATGATGCTAACAAGGACAAAGAGGAGAAGAGAAGATTGCGAAGATGGAGTAAAGAAGATGGTCAAAGTTGAGGACAAAGAGGAAGAAGATGCTACAAACGATTTGGTTGGCAAAACCACCTTGAAAGTGCAATACGAAGCCTTTGATTATGAAAGCGTTGGCGAGACTTGCTAATTGTTTTAGGATTAAAGGAGATGTGATATCTATATAACCGCTTTGTACTTATGGAACATGAATGCCAAAAATTTATTTATTTATTTTTTTCATAAATTTCCATTAATTTTAAAGCGCAAAGGCAAGTACAAATGACGCAAGACGCTACATATAAAAATATTTACTCCGATGGGTTTACCCACAAAAAAATAAGCCTGAAGATAACCACGTTCCCAGATAAAGAGATAGGCATATTTGACGACTGGGCAGGAAAAAGAAGCTTTCGAGAGAGAGGATCCATATGTAGTGTAATGATTGTTTTGCTTTCCTCAATGATGATGTCAGGTGGTTAGGGTCGGCCCTGGGCTAAAGCTGGTAAAGCCCATGCTTTAGGCGCCAAAATTATGTTATATATATTTAAGGGGCAGCAATTTTCCAAAAACCGACAGTGGTAGAGTGGTTGGTGCTACAACTCATGTAATGAAGGTCAAGAGTTCAAGTTTGCGCCCTTACATTTTCATAGGCTAAATTTTATTGATGGGTCTAATGTTTTTGGGCTTTAGGCGCCACATGGTGCCGGACCGGGCCTGCAGGTGGTCGTGAGATGACTGAATGAATCCTTGTATTTTTCTCCTTCCACACATTGTAAACTGAAGCTTGATACCATAAACGAGCAATGACATTAATGTTGTGGTTGTTAGAAGGTTCTTTTAACCATCGAACACATTCCTCAAATAGAGGTGGGGGAGATAGATTAGCCTTAACACCGACCAGGGGCGAAGGCAGACAAATTTGTGACTGGGTGCACAATTAAATTAAAAATAAAAAACAATGTATTACTGATCGAACGTGGGTATATTGTGGGTGCACTAAACCATTATAATCACTATCTAATAGAATTATAGTGATCTTGCCTAAAAAAAATTAAACATCCATAATTTTATGGGTGCACATGCACCCTTATCTCATAGGGTGGCTTCGCCCTTGACACCGACTAAAGACCAGACCCTTGAACTATAACTGCAGTCAAAGAATAGGTGTTGTTGAGATTCATCACATATACAGCATTAAAATGCATACTGATTGCATTGAGATACTCCAAGTTGACAATCTGTCTCTAGTAGAGAATCTATGCCTGACATTAACCCAAGTAAGAAAGGCATGCTTTGGGATTCTCTCTAGAAACCAAACCTACGAATGCCAAAAAACAGGAGGAGGCTAAGGGTTTAGAAAATCCCACGTATCTGATATAGGATTGATTAAGAAATAGATATTGTATTGATAAGATCAAAACGTTTACAAGACTTTTATTCATAGGGATCTCTACCTACCCTTAACAACTTTGGATCAAACCTCTTGATAATCCCAACGAAACAACCTCCCTCGCTTAATAAAGAGAAAAAGCATAAAAAGCAAAAAGCTCACAACCCATGTGAGCCGTTAGACGTTATTGTTAACTCCAGCATGACAACGCCGTTATTCTTTATTCTCGTCCTTACTCTCCAATCACATTGCAGCCGCAGACACGTCACCCTCCTTCAACTATTCTTTCTTATCTTTCCCTCTTCTCTTCATGACGTACGTGTACAACAAAGGAGGTCGTACAACTCCATTGCTAACATTACTCCCTGCTGCAAAATTGACCTTGTCCTCAAGGTCAAACTCTGAGAACTGTACCTGCATAACACACTTCCATTCCCAAGAGTTCTCATACTCCGGCAACCCCTTCCACTGAACCAACACCTCCTCTTCACTCGAAATTGGACTCATGCGTGTCCCCAGTATCTTCTCCGGCTGTACCTCAAGAACCCCTTCTGTCATTAACTGAGGTGGTAACGGAGCCACTGGTTGTTCATTCCCCACCGCCTTCTTCAACTGAGACACGTGAAAAGTGTTGTGTATTTTGGCCTCTTCTGGTAGCTTGAGGCGATAAGCTACCTCCCCTACTCGAGCCAACACCTCAAATGGACCGTAAAAATGTGCTGACAGTTTCTCATTCATGCGCTGTGCTAAAGACCGTTGTCGGTAAGGCCTGATCTTGACATACACTCTGTCTCCTACAGCCAGTAATACCTCTCTGCGATGACTATCAACATTTTTCTTCATCACCTGCTGAGCCTTATGAATGTGTTATTTCATCGCTGCAATCATCTCGTCCCTCTCAATCAATTTGTTCTCCAAATCAGCATTTGCTGTCGATCCCACCTCGTACCTGACCAACATTGGTGCTTCCCGTCCATACACTGCCCGAAACGGAGTCATCTGGATCGCAGAGTGATAGGAAGTGTTGTAGCATAACTCCGCCCAAGGTAAGTAACGTGCCCACGCCTTGGGTTTTTCACTCGTCAGACAGCGAAGGTAAGTCTCCAAGCCTCGGTTTGTCACCTCCGTATGCCCATCAGTTTGTGGGTGGTAACTGATGCTCATACACAACGAAGTGCCTGCCAACCTGAATAACTCCTTCCAAAACTGACTGGTGAACACTCGATCCCTGTCAGAAACAATGGTCTTTGGAAACCCATGAAGCTTGACCACCTCCTGTATAAACAACAATGCAACATCTGTGGCCGTAAAGGGGTGGCGCAGTCTGATGAAGTGCGCATATTTTGACAGACGATCCACTACTACCAGTACTGCGTTATATCCCTCTGACCTAGGTAACCCTTCGACGAAATCCATCGCCACGTCTTCCCAAATTGCCTCCGGAATGTTCAACGGCTGTAGCAATCCTCCTGGAGCCAACGTAGAGTACTTGTGTCGTTGACACACCGAGCAAGCAGCTACGTATCGTTTAATGTCGTTCATCATTCACATCCAGTAAAACGACTCACTGATCCTCTTCTGAGTTCTCTGTACCCCTCCGTGACCCCCCAGCCGTCCATCGTGCATCTCCCTAAGGACTACTCCAATCAATTTTGATTCTCTAGGAAACACCAACTTCCCACGGCGCAGCAACCTTCCCTGTACCATCAGGAACTCAGGGTGACTCATCGGATCCGCTTTCAATTCTTCCACAATTTTGTTAAGTGCCTCATCCTGCAAGATCTCTTTCTCAACATCTTCGAACTGTATTGCAGTGGGAATCGACAAGGCCAAGAGCTCAACTGCAACATCCCTTCTGGACAAGGCATCCGCTGCTTTGTTCTCCAATCCTGGTTTGTATTGAATATCAAAATCAAACCCTAGCAACTTTGACAACCAACGTTGATACTCCATGTTGATCTCCCTTTGCTCCAGCAAGAATTTCAAACTCTTTTGGTTAGTCCTCACCACAAATTTCCTTCCCAACAAGTAGTGACGCCACTTCTGTATGGCGACCACAATTGCCATCAGCTCCCGTTCATACACCGACTTCAGCTGCTGTCGCTCTGACAGCACTTGGCTAAAGTAGGCTATGGGGCGCTGTCTCTGCATCAGAACTGCCCCTAATCCCTTGCCTGATGCATCCGACTCCACAACAAATGTTTCCTCAAAATCAGGAAGAGCCAACACAGGAACCGTGGTCATCGCTTGTTTCAGCTTGACAAACGCCTCCTCAGCAGCCTCACTCCACCTGAATCTGTCCTTCTTCAAGAGGTCTGTTAACGGTCTTGCGATTACCCCATATCCTTGCACAAACCGCCTATAATATCCAGTAAGCCCCAAAAATCCCCTCAAAGCTTTTAGGTTTCTTGGTACTGGCCACTATGTCATAGCTTTAATCTTAGCCTTATCAGCTTCCACTCCCTCCGCCGAAATCACATGTCCCAAATATTCAATGCTGGAACAACCAAACTCACATTTCTTTCGGTTCGCAAAGAGTTGATGTTGCTGAAGCTTCTCTAGAACCAGCTTCAAATGTTCCGTGTGCTCTTGATGACTCTTGCTGAACACCAAAATGTCATCGAAGAATACGAGCACGCACTGCCTCAAATACGGTCTGAACACATCATTCATGACTGACTGAAACGTAGCCGGCGCGTTCGTCAATCCGAAGGGCATCACTAGGAACTCGTAGTGTCCATCATGAGTGTGAAATGCCGTTTTAGGGACGTCCTCTGTCTTGACCCTTATCTGATGATATCCTGCCCTCAAGTCCAACTTTGAGAACACCTCCGCTCCCTTTAACTCGTCTAGCAGCTGGTCGATCATCGGAATAGGGTAGCTGTCCAGGATTGTGGCCTTGTTCAGGGCTCGATAATCTACACAGAAGCGCCAACTTCCATCCTTCTTCTTCACCAAGAGAACCGGACTAGAAAATGGGCTTATACTCTCTTGTATTATCCCTGCCTTCAACATCGCTGACACTTGTTTCTCAATCTCCTCCTTCTGCGCATGAGGATACCGGAAGGGTCTCACACTAACAGGGTCACTGCCTTGAGCTAGTGTGATGGCATGTTCCCTGCTTCGCGTAGGAGGTAGTTCCTGTGGTTCCTCAAACACCTGCTCATACCTTTGCAACAGCCTTTGAATTGGTTTAGAAACTCTCGCCGACTCTTTAGTTTCTGTCTCCAACTCTCTGCACTCAATCATCACACTCCACTCTTGTTGTGTCAGCACCTTCCTCATAGCCTTCGCTGACACCTCAGAGCAACAGATATCAGGTTCTCCCTGCAACTTCACCCACTTCCCTTCTACCAGAATCTTCATCGTCTGCAGCTTCCAATTAACCCTCATCTCTCCCAAGGTCTCCAGCCACTGAATACCCAGTATTATTTTAACATTATTGAGCTCCAGTGGTAGGAAATATGTGGTCACATTGGATCCCTGCATCTCCAACTTAACCTCTCGGCACACTCCCCCTCCTTTTACTGGTGGTCCTGAGCCTGTGATCACCCCAAAGTTTCCTGTCTCGGTTAGCACCAACCCAATCTCCTTCATCATATGGCTATCGATGAAGTTATGGGTCGCTCCGCTATCGATGAGGATGAGTACTGGCCTTCCTTCCACCATTCCTCTGAGTTTGATGGTTCTAGGTGATGAGATGCCCGCGGCTGACTTCGCAGACAAGGCAGCGCACTCCGCAAACTCCGTTGTCTCGTCGGCCTCGGTTTCTTCTTCGTCTATTTCGTCTTTCTCATCGCCTTCCTCCTCCTGAACCACAAGCACCATAAACTCCTTATTAGGACAATCTCGCCTTGCATGAGATTTACCTCCGCACTGGAAGCAAAGCCCCTCCGTTCGATATCTGGCATACTCCGCTGGTGAGAGCCGTCGAAACGGCGTTCTCCCTTTTCCCCCGTTGTTAGGGTTCTGTCCCTGAGTCATTGGCTTCTTATCATTCTGGGCCGGTTTGTCTGGGCCTGTTGTCGGTTTGGGCTTTTGGTTTATGTTAGGCCCAGCCCCCATACCTCCTGCTGATCCACTCCGTCCTTGAGTCATCGGAGACACGGTTGATAACCCCCCTCTAAACCCCTTGCCTCCCGGCGACTCCGTCTTCTGATCAGCATATCCAACCCATTCCTCCACCAACTTAGCCACGCTCATCATCTTCCGTAAGCCTCTCGGCTCCATGAGCTTGACCCCAGCTCGAATCTGAGGTTTCAAGCCGATCATGAACGCCGTCTCCAACACCGCATCAGGAACCTCCGGCGCGTTCGTTGCGAGTGATAGAAAGTCTCGACAGTACTCCCGGACGGTTCCCTCCTGCTTCAACGTCATCAGTCTCTCACGCACCGTCATCTCGTACGCCGTAGAGAACTGCTCCAGCACGCGAAACTTCATCTGCTCCCAGCTCGTGAATGGGTCCCGATCTCGCTCCCATCGGTACCATGACAGAGCCTCTCCGTCAAAACACATCCTCACCATACGTAACTTCCCCTCCTCCGAAAGTTCACCCAGCTCAAAATACTGCTCAACGCGCAGAACCTAACTCTCAGCGTCTTCTCCGTTGAAGAGTGGGATCTCGATCTTGCGTGTTTTGTGCGTAATCTCATCTTCCTTCTCTTTGGGTTGCCTCCAAGGACGATCGAGGTGACTCGAGGAGTGATTTCAGTTACCCTCGTTCCTCATCAACGTCTCAGAAAGTGTTCCTGTCCCTCCGGCGCAAAAGAGACCGCTCCGATCTTCACTGGTCTCGATCTGCTTTCCAGGATGTTGCACGGTTTGTGAGATCTCCTCCTCCTCCTCATGACGACGCAACGACGCTTGGAACAACACCGCCATCTCGCGTTTCCGCGTCTCATCGTCATCATTCAAGCGTTGTTCCAACCACTCCAACACACCCATACGACTTCGGATCTCTGTCACCGTCTCCTTGTGACCCTCCATCGTACTCTCCAACACTCTGATCTTCCCCATCTCACTTCTCAAATTCTCCACAGCGGCTTCAACATCAGGTTTCTTAGCTGGTGCCATTGATTCCAGGAAAAAACGAACTCTGATACCAAGTTGATATAGGATAAATTAAGAAATAGATATTGTATTGATAAGATCAAAACGTTTACAAGACTTGAGAGACTTTATTCATAGGGATCTCTACCTACCCTTGACAACTTTGGATCAAACCTCTTGATATTCCCAACGAAACAACCTCCCTCGCTTAATAAAGAGAAAAAGCATAAAAAGCAAAAAGCTCACAACCCACGTGAGCCATTAGACGTTATCGTTAACTCCAGCATGACAACGCCGTTATTATTTATTCTCGTCCTTACTCTCCAATCACATTGCAGCCGCAGACACGTCACCCTCCTTCGAATATTCTTTCTTATCTTTCCCTCTTCTCTTCCTGACGTACGTGTACAACAAAGGAGGTCGTACAACTCCATTGCTAACCTTATCAGATGTTGAGAATTTATCTGACGGTTCTCTTGCTCATATCTTCCACAAATAGATGTCATCTACCTAAGAGTTAACAACAACAGAGGCATTAGGCTAACATTGTTTGATCAAGGTGATAATAGGATTTCTACTGCACGACCTATTGATCCACCAATCCTCATCAACTAGAGTATCTGCAACTACTGCATCTATATTGGGTCCAGTGGTTCTGGGTCCTATAGGTCCTGTAAAGTTAATTAACAGACCCAACCCCGTCCAATTATCTCTCCAGAAACTAGCAGTTTGTCTTGTACCCACCGCACATAAGATAAAAGGTCTGGCCATATCTCTCAGCGTACATATTGACTTACATATCCAACTTTCTGTAGAATGAACTCGAAGGTCCCAGAAATATGAAGATCCAATATGATTAACCCTCACCCAAGATACCCATAGTAAACCACCCCTGGCAAAGATTAGCCAGATGAGTTTCATGATAAAATTTGAATGCAATCTTTGGGAAATAGAAACAGAGAAGCCCATAATGTTAACGTTGAAAAGATAACTGACTGAATGAGAAACAGCCTCCCTGCAAACGAGAGATGTCTAACAGTCCATGAACAGAACTGAGAGCAGATTTTATTTTATTTTGCATCAAAAGAAACAACATCCTTGGACGAAAAAGAAAATAAAAAATTGCCGACTGCTTTGCACAAGAGAACTCTTCTTGGGTCCTCAAGGCTCTAAGTAAAAGATTAACCACAATGAGGCAAAAAAAAAAAAAATCATTTTAGTATACCTTGGATTAGCTTTTGGTTTCCGGTGCCATTGCTTGGTTTCTTACTTATCACTAATTTATAATTCAAATTTCTGCACAAGGGGTTAGTAGTTTTCATGTCTTTCTAGTTAACTAGCTAGAGTTGTAGGATACGTGTATTGTTTGTCTCAGTGTAAAGAGGATGTTTAGAAGCTAGAACATCATATTACTATACATGTTCTTAAATGAGTGTCTTGCGTTTATTATATTAATTTCTGCAAAATAATAAATTATGTATTTAATTTTAATAGTAAAAACCAGCCAAATGGTATATAAGTTAGGTATGTTCATCGTTTTTATAGTAGCTCCATGGTCAAGATCTGGAATGAGTTCTCACCATATAAAAATAAAAGAAAAATAATTAAAATACGAGAAAGAATATAAAAAATTCGAACTGCTGAGATTTTTAAAAACCCGTTAAAAACTTCATGTGACAGATGTCACTTCATTAGTGTTCCAATTAGTCTTACAAAATAATGCTTAATTAAATTATTATAAGTATTTTTTATTTTAGAAAATTTTATAGATTGTAACCGATAATGTTATTCTTAGGAAATATTTTTTTTCCATCTTTTCTACCTTCTTTCTCTAACTATTCCCTTTTTAATTAAATGTTTGATGAGAAACTTTGAGTGAGAGACCATCTGGTGCAGATGCTCTTAAAATATACAACAAAGGTGAATTTATTGAAAATTTTCATCATAAGCTAATCTTCAAACAATTAACTTTTCTATGGTTTAAAAGATCAAAAAGCTCTATATATTTACTACGACTGAGTAGAAAAACAAAATAGGACCTCTGAGAAAAATATAAAAAAAGAAATTGTCATATATTTATTTTATTAATGCATAAGTGCATAAGTTGAAACAAAAAAAGAAGTTAAAAACCAATTTTTGACATAAAAATAATATTAAACATGAAATGAAGGTTAATTCCAATTTGTACTTCAGTTTGTCCAAAATTGCAACACTGAATCTCAAATCAACTAAACCAGATGAATAACGTATGAGTAAAACTAATCATACAAGTCGAAACCAAGATCTCCATCGCTTTCTTCTGCTGATTCGTCCTTTTTCTCTTCCTTGGCAGGAGCAGCTGCTGCAACTCTTCCGTTAGCAGCAGTTGTAGCTGCAGCAACTGGTGCACCACCTCCACCTTCACCTCCACCAGTACCAACATTCATGATGAGGTCAGTGATGTTACGCTTTTTGGACATCTTGGCGAATAGCAGTGATGGAAATGCCTTAGTCCTCAAGGATCATAACATCATAGCTGCAAGAAAGTTCTCCTACTGTATCAAGTTTGGATCAATGCTTCAACATAAGCTCTGATACCAATTCAAATCTCTAGAAACAAAGGATTATAAGAACAACTTTTCTTATTAGCTTTAGAAACTACTCAAAACTAAAGCTCACAATGTTTCTCTTAGATCATTTATGATCTACTCTCTTAGATCTTATGGAACACCTCTCCATAGATCTCTATTTATATGCAAGATAATTCCCTTGAACATGTGGGATATGGAAAACACAAACCTAATCTAATAGAAAACTTCCTTTTCCTATTTCTAGATTTCCTTATTGTGTTTACTTCTTAACATATTAAACATCTAATAATATGTTAAGTTTCCACAAGCTTGGAATTACCCAACATTCACCCCCTTAATTCCAACTTGAATTAGGGAGATCAATTTCTTGAACTCCGATTAAGCTCCTCGTTTGCTTGAACTTAAACTTCAAGTAATCATCCTTCACCACACAATAGTATGCGAATCCACCCATTGTATTCACATCTTTCTCAAGGTTAGACTGGATGTTCTCCTCGCTTTTGTATCGCCTCTTCTTAGAATTGGCCCAGTTCTTGTAGAACCTTCTCCTGACCTCTTCACTTAAGTTGCGATGAGTCTTGCAGCTGAAACTCGCTCTGGTCTCGTCCGCCATCTTGCGTATGTGAGTTGTGTTACACACTTCCGTCTTTGTGTCACATATGTGAGTTGTGTTACACGTCTCCATCTGTGTATCACATACCCCTACATGAGTTGTGTTACACGTTTCCATCTTTGTGTTACATACCTCTGTATGTTTAACACAAGTCGGTCTAACCACATGCTCCACTGGTACATGTGTTGTAACACACGCTTTCATATGTGTGTCACACATGATTTCTTGAGCACTTATCTCTGGTTCGTCTCCAGCTTTTGACAACTTGTAACTTGACTCCATTGGAACTTGAGTCGAGTTACACACTTCCATATATGTGTCACACAAGATTCCTTGAGCAGGACTCTCCTCCTTTATCTTGATTTCATCTGCTCCTTGAATCTTGTCGATCCACCTTAACCATGTAGGTTTAGCAGGCGGTCTATCTACAAGCTCCCACATCTTGCTTCTTGTGATAGCTTCCATCTTGGCTACCATAGCTTCAACCCATAAGTAGTTCAACATCTTCAACTCAGCTGAGGTAAACTCTCCTCCTCTATCGATGCAGTCTAGATTGGATTTAGCTGAGGCAAACTCTCCTCCTCTATCGGTGAGAAAGGTTCTGATGGGTTCCTTCAACCTCTTGAACCGATCGAATACCTCATGCTTCTTCTTCAATAGTATAACCAGGAATTCATGTCTAATTTGCTTCTCTGTTAGACATGCGTTACACACGACATCTCCGTGTGTTACACTCAGGAATGAGTGTCTGTTTTGCTTCACTGCGTCACACACGCCTTCTTCGTGTGTTACACTCGAGAATGAGTGTATGATATGCTTCACTGTGTCACACACGCCTTCTTCATGTGTTACACTCGACATTCTTTTGACTAACGTCTGAAGTCTCACCCTCCTTACACGAACAGCTCCAAGGTGTCGTGACCTGATGGCGTTACATATGTCTTTAGAAGCGGCTTGTTCTCCCACCTGGAGAATCAAGCTTTCGGAAGCTACTTGTTCTCCCACCTGAAGAATCAAGTTTCCAGAAGTGGATTGAAACAAAANGAAGCGGCTTGTTCTCCCACCTGGAGAATCAAGCTTTCGGAAGCTACTTGTTCTCCCACCTGAAGAATCAAGTTTCCAGAAGTGGATTGAAACAAAAGAGAAATCGCAACATCGTTCTTCTTTTGATAATCTGAACCAGGTTCTATCGTGCCACGTACTTCATGAACACGCATCATAACCTTCATCCTCATCGACCAAATGGTATAGTTTGATGATGACAACATAGGACATTGGATGGATGTAGTTCCAAGGTCCTTCGTGCGTGGAGCCCTAGTCACGTCCGCCATCTTGCTCGCGTGTACTCTTGGTCACAAGCACCAGGATCAAAGCTTCAACTTAAGCTTAGATCGAGTCTCCAACCTGAAGAGCTCTGATACCAATTCAAATCTCTAGAAACAAAGGATTATAAGAACAACTTTTCTTATTAGCTTTAGAAACTACTCAAAACTAAAGCTCACAATGTTTCTCTTAGATCATTTATGATCTACTCTCTTAGATCTTATGGAACACCTCTCCATAGATCTCTATTTATATGCAAGATAATTCCCTTGAACATGTGGGATATGGAAAACACAAACCTAATCTAATAGAAAACTTCCTTTTCCTATTTCTAGATTTCCTTATTGTGTTTACTTCTTAACATATTAAACATCTAATAATATGTTAAGTTTCCACAAGCTTGGAATTACCCAACACTGTAGACATTGTATCTGCAACAACACAAATAAAAGGAGGATTATGTAGCAAACAGTAACGAAAAAATAAGTTAGAACTTTTCATGTTAGTTAGGGTTTCCAAAAAAATGAGAGAGAGACTGCTATATATATAAAAACTTCTATCCACTGATGCAACTTCACCTCTGTGAGATCATGGACGGAGAGAGGACCAGTGATATCAATATCCTTTTTGATATAGTGGTTGAGAAACTAAAGAAATTCCGAGCCAATCCTCGCATGAGATTTCGTTGCGTCTCAAAGCAATGGAAAAATATTACCAGCAACTCCATAGTCACAGACTCCATCGTGTCTCAGTCTCTGACTCAACCACTGCATGATCCCAACTTTATCTTCCACAAGATTTTGTCATATGAACCATTCTTTCACGTCTCCTTGTATACTTACCAAAACGAAGAACAATTGATCACCACATGAGATCTTTGGAGAAGGCACATGTCAGAGATGTTTACAATATGTACGTGGTTTTGGTTTGATAACGTTTTGACCGGTATGAATGTTAGTTCAAAATACACAACCCTACCACGAGACAACCTGTTTCCTTACCTAATGCAACCATAGGAATGACCACTCTGATTTTGGTTGGTTCGGTAATGGATACATGATGATGGATCGTTGGGTCACACAAAGGATGCAGAAGACCTTTGATTTACCCTCTTCTAAGCCGTTGGATATGACACACCAAGATAGCTATGGAAGGATATGTTGATCGGGATCACTCGCCTCACAACATAAATATGATGTTCAGTTAAGAAGAATGATTCAATACGATAAAAGAAAGATGATTTTATTAAAAAGTTGGATGAATTACAAAAGAGGCACTTAAGCATTTATATAGGAGGCATGTGGCTACACTACAAGAAAACTCGTCCATTACTAGGACGGGTTTTCCTCGTTAGTTCCTAGTAAATGGCCTTTTACTAGGAACTTACGAGGAAACGCGTTTCCTCGAAACACGTTCATCGTAAAGCCATTTTCCTCGTAAGGTCGTAGCGAATTTACGAGGAAAACTTTCCTCGTAAAGGCGTGGTAATATTTTCATCGTAAGGTCCTCAGAAGCTTTCCTCGTAAGCTCGTAGTAAACATTTCCTCGTAAGGTCGTAGTGAAACATTACGAGGAAATAACTAGAACTTTTTACGAGGATATTACTTGGAATATTTTACGAGGAATTTGCTTGGAAATGTTTTTTTCCTATTAAAAAAATAATTACAAATAATTAATTTATTTTTTAAAAATAAAAAAAAATCAGATTATAAATAAAAATAAAAAACAAAATATTTTATAAATAACTAGATAATATACAATAAGTTTTTAAATTCATAATATACTAATAAAAATAAAAGAAACTACGGATGCTGGTCGTGAAATTGCTGACTGAACAAAACGTCGTCCTGGCTCGGCAAATCCTCTCCATAGTTGGTTGCCGGCTGTGACTGTGATGGCGGAGGATGTTGGGTACTTGGAATCCCTGCACGTTCCCGTCTCTGACGCAACAGCTCCTGCACTTGCGGGTTTCCAACCGCCATAATGTCGAGGATATTGGTGACAGAAGTGAGATCATCGGTGAGCGAAGTCACTTGAGACTGCGTCGCCTCCAACTGCGAGCGCAGCTGATCATTGACATCGTGCTGCTCCTGATGATAAGACGATGTCGCTGCATGGACATCGTTAACCGAGCCAATCCCGATGATACGCCCCCTTTTCCTAGGGGCGACCTGAAAATAAAAATATTAATAACATTAAGAAAAATTTCAAAAATATTAAAAATTAATAATAAAACAAATTATTTACCTCCTCGTAAATCTTATCCACGTCAACAGTGGATAATATGACTGGAGACCCAGTCTGCTGAGTCAGCTGGGTCTGGCGCTCGTCAACTCGGGCAACAAGCTCGTTGTAGATCCTCTCCGAAGCAGGATCTACAAACTGCCCAGCCTTGTTCCGGTGGGTCCTCTCGTACAAGTCTTTCAGAGATGGAAGAACTCCTGTCTCCTTAGCCTAAAATTAATTTATAAAATTAAATATTAATTTAGAATATATTCAAATAAAATAAAAATTAAGTTAATTGATATTAAAAATCATCTTACCATGTCAAGACGAACTCCCCCGTGAGGTTTTCGACCCGTGGTGTGAAGCACCTTCGTGTTGCTATGCTCGTCCTTGGTCATGCGGTTCCCGGAGTTTGTGTTGGACGTTCTGACCGAGTCCGACAACGTCCAATAGCTGATGAGGCCATCCCACACCGTGGTTGTGAGGCAATCGGGTTTCCCGGCCTCGTAACCATCCACCTGATTAAAAAAAATATTAGATCATTAAAGTCAATATATAATATTTTTAAAACTATATATATATTATAATTTATAAATCAATACCTCATAGTCGCCCTTCCAGTTGTAGACCGTGTCGAGCAATCATGCTTTTGCCTTGGTCTCAAACTCCTTCTTCACTCGCTCGTGAATCCCAATAGACCAGCGATACTTTTGCTGTAAGCAGAAAAAATAAAAGATGGATTAGTTCAATTATATTAATAATTTAAAATAATTAAAAATAAATTAACAAACTAAATTAACTTACAGCGAACGATTTGAACCACGTCTTTTTTGTGTGGCTCGCCGTCTTCTTCGAGTTCGGAGCTGGATCGGGAAAGTATCCCTTGATAGAGTCTGTGACGCTAGATCCGACACTATTGTCACAACCAAACCTGGAAAGACACAAAATAAATCATTAGCTAGATTAACTTCTAAATATTTTGTTAATTAAGAAATAAATAAATAAAAAATTTAAAAATTAAAACATACCATAAAATGTTTTGGCCGTTCCGTCGGTGAGGATCTAATTCTGCCAGCCCTTCTCTGCCTGGAAGGGCCAAAATATCCTCCACCATGTACACCGCAAAGGGTGCATTCGGCGGCACCTGCAAATCGGGATGAAGTGGAGGAGGAGGAGGAGGAGGAGGAGGTGGCTGCTGAGTCTCGGGAACTGCCGAAGATGAACCACCGGGAGCTGACGAGGATGAACCCGGACCATCCTGACGCCCAAACATATCTCCGTAGCTTATCCCCTCGAGAGTCGACACCCTCTTAGCAGCAGCCTTAGCAATCTTGCTCTGTCTAGGCATCTATATTTTTTTTAAAAAAAATTTGAAAACATTAATTCCCGCATAATTTAAAAAAACAGTAACTAAAAGTAAACTAACATAATCTAAATTACGTAAACTAACCACCTAATCTAAATTCCCTAAACTAACCACCTAATCTATTCCCTAAACTAACCACCTAATCTAAATTCCCTAATCTAATCACCTAACTACGGATTAGAGAGAACCTTTAGAGGGCTTAGAGAGAAGGTTACTAGCAAATGAGAAACCGGATTGCTCGCGTATATATAAAGAATTTTGTTTCCTCGTAAAGCCCTAGTAACATTACTAGGACCTTACGAGGAAATAGCTATGCCCGCGTTTTTATTTCCTCGTAAGGTCCTCGTAATGTCTCTACTAGGGCTTTACGAGGAAACCCCTTTACGAGGAAATAGCTATGCCCGCGTTTTTTTCCTCGTAAAGCCCTAGTGAAGCCTTACTAGAACATTACAAGGAAATTGATATGCCCGTGTTTTCTATTACTAGGGCTTTACGAGGAAAGGGTTTATAAATCCCTAAACTCGAAACCTCAAACCCCAAACCACAACTTCCTTAACTTATAACCTCTTCTACAACCAAACTCCTAACCTTTTCTACACATAAACCCCAAATTTTCAAAACTAAACAACCTAATATAATTTCCCTAAACTAACCACCTAATCTAAATTCCCTAAACCCTAACCTTAAACCTAAACCCTAAACCTAAACCAACTTCCATAACTTATACCTATACATCTTCCTAAACCCCAAATCACAATTTTTTTTAAAAAAACTAAAAGAAGCATACAGTCATCGGAACGGTTTTTATCAACCCCACATAGCTTTCCTCGAACTATCTACCTGAAGAAAAGCCCCAAGCTATTTCTTTGAGGAAAAGCTATGAGGAGTTGATAAGAAACTATTACGTTGACTGTGAACTCCTTTCAGTTATGAATTGAGTATTTTCTATTTGTTTGGTGTGTTTCAAATGAATCACATATGGTGGTATTTATAGAAATTTTCGAATCTGAGAATTTACTAGGAAAAGTAGCTACAAAATTTAAATTCGATATTTTCTATCTAGTTCCTCTTAATTTCGTAGTAACAAAACCCATTCCTCTTAATTTCGTAATAATCAATTACTAGGACTTTACGAGGAAACTGCTTTACTAGGAAATAGCTATGCCCGCGTTTTTTTCCTCGTAAAGTCCTAGTAATGTTACTACGACTTTACGAGAAAATTGTTTTCTCGTAAGTATACGAGAACCTTACGAGGAAACATGGTTTCCTCGTAAACTCGAAGTAAACTCGTAGTAATTTTACGAGGAATTATTTTCCTAGTAAAGTTTCCTAGTAAGTGCTTAGTTTTCTTGTAGTGCTAGACAGAGGGTCTGATTTATTCTTAGAAAATAGGAAACTCATAAATATAAAAGACCAGAAAGTAGATGTCCTAGACTTGACCAAAAATTTGACGGTTTTTTGTTGAATGACTCTTCAACTGCTCGAGTCCTTTCGCATAGTCGATCGTCTTCGAATTAGTGTCAAAATGATATATTATTCGACCTTGACTTGTATTTTCTTGTTGAAATTATCTTTTTTTTTTTGGATTTGGATAAATCCAAACTCTGATTTTCTAATCATAAAAAGCCCCCATGTATTGCTTCAAATCCATTAGCTTCTCTCGGTCTAGAACTTCATGGATCAAACCGATAAGGCCCATAAACAGCCCATTAAGCCAAGCAATGATCAGTTGCCTAGCTTATTCGTATCTTTCTCTCCTTTCCTTGATATAGATGCTGGTCAGGGTTACATCATCCTATCCTCTTTTAAGAGGATTTATCTTCAAATCCAAGCTCTTTAGGATGAAAAACCGACCTCTTTTTGCTCCAAGTTCGTTTTCCATTTGGCCAATGTTTGGTCTTTGATTATGTACACATATTTCTCGTTCATGAAATGCACCTGAATTACAAGCCATTGTGTTGTTCTTCTTGTCAGCAACTACTGATACAAGAGCTTCCTCTTCAGCCAAGTTTTGGAAAGTCACTAGATCACTTATATCCTCCTTTTGATTTAGCGATTGTTTGATCTTCTTGGACAGAAACAGCAACCGGTTCTGGTTCAGCCTAGCTCTTTGCATACTCCTATGGACGTGGCTGGTGTTCGCTGTGTGCTGTGATCCTTTGATACATCTACTCCTTAAATCTATGCAGCCATATTTCCAAGCCTTTGCGCTTTGCTTCCTCTTTGTCTGCCTGAATCTGTTCTCGTACCAAAGCATTGATTGCTTGTTGTATCTCATTC